CACACACACACACACACACACACACGTGCTTACCTACAAACAGCTCTTTAAAGAGAGAAAAGGAGAAGTACTAATACGGAATAGAGAACTATGAATATGAAGTCGACTAGGAATGAGAGAAGTGAAAAAATGAGGATGGACACAAATGCGAAGCACCTCATCTTCTCAAATATTAGACATTCCCTTCATCATGGATACGAACAGCTTTCTTCCGGACAAAACGGATGAGCGCAAGTGTATTTCGACAGAAAGTACATACATCCTTCCCGGTCCACGTCGAGATGCACAACAATTATCACAAGACAGCCCATGCCTCTCGAAACTCGCAGTTTGTTGTAGACAACAGATGAAAAGGCCTGTCACCGGTGATGCTATACACGAACAACCGGCCGGTCTGCACAGCAAAGGCCACTGTCAGAAGCGCACCGAAGCACTCTAAGAGTCCTATTGCCGTAGTCGGCAGTCACTGCGAAGGGTGATTGCTTCTCCAAAAGCCCCCGTGTGAGGAACGGACCAGCAACAGCGATTTCGTCGAAACAGACATTTTATATTTTTTGAACGAATTTGAAACCTTCTTATTTGGCCCAAAAAATATCACCGTTTATCTCATGAGGGTCCATTCGGAGTCAACTGAAGTTCAGGTACATCCAAGGAGGACCCTAAGGAGCTCAAACCCTGACATTTCCAGGTTCAAATAAGTGGGTTTCAATTTCGTTCAAAAAATCTAAAATGTCCGTTTTGACGGAATCTCTGTTCAGCCGTTGGATTCTGATGTACCTGCTCGCCTCCTGCCATCCAGCTTCAGGCAGAGGCACCCACCAGGTGTCCTCTACAAACTGCATTTCCCCCAAAAGGGAAACAAATCTTCAAGTTCTTGTCGTCATGCCAAAAACAGCAAGTCTCCTTCAAGTGGTTGTTCTGAAGCCGAAAACCAGCACTCGCCCTAGCAAACAGCGGCATAATGCGTCCCGTCGTGGAAGAAAACATGATGCTTGAACTCACGATAGAGGGCGTGATAGTTCCATAGGACGCTTGCTGCATTCCATTGGAAGCTCGCTGCATACACAGCCATCTTCAGTTCGAAAGGTTCGAAATTGTTCTCCAATGAAAAGCTCCACTTGCCCATACCACACCACCTCCCCACGCCACAAACCTAGGACAAGTTATTGCCACCCGTGCTCGAGCTCACCATGAAGCTCGACGGCTGCGTGGCACACCTTCCCCGTGCTGAACGCCCCGGGGCATGGTGAGCGAACTCTGCGAACATATGAGAAAACCCTAACGCTAATGCACTCGCGTAGAAGGATTGGAGCCTCGTAGGCACTCGCGTCGTAGGATTGGAGCGTAGGCACTCGCGTCGTAGGATTGGAGCATAGCGCCGCCTCCTACTTCCTCCTCCCAAACCTTGAACCACAGCCACCATATTTTTGTCTTTTTCACATTTGGTCATTGGCGAACCAAGGTCCTTGTTTTTTTTCTATATTCTTCTCTCAACTTCTGTTTCTTTTTACCTTCCACTAACCATTAGGGGCAAGGGGCAACATTAAACCAAGGTCCTTGTCAATGGGCCTCGCTGCACTACTTCAAAAAAAAAAGCAAAAAAAAAATCGAAAGCCCACATTCATTACACAATTCGAAAAACGCTGCACTACTCTCGAAATCTGCAAACCGAGGTCCTTGTCAATGGGCCTCGCTGCAGTACTCTCGAAATGTGAAAACGAGAGTGAATCTTCCGCTAGAACATGGAAAGATGCACAGGCATTTTTTTTTTTTCCTTTGCGCATGTCTAGAGTCTTGCATCGAGGCCCATGTGGGCAAATGATGCACACATGTTACTCTTAGCTAACAGGTCATGAGCTCCAGACCGGCCAAAACAAAGATGGATTCGATAATGATGCTTCTATCTGTTTTGGAATTGCGCAGAGTCTGATGGGCTTTCCCAGGAAAAAAAAAAAAAAAGAGTCTAATGGCCTACTCACAAGGAGCACATCCAAGGAAGGGTGGTTTTTCATCTTTTTTCAAAAAGCCCGGGGCTAGGTCCCACCTGCACGAATTAAGAGATACTGACCGTAGATTGCAAAGCTCGACGGCCCAAATCTACTAATTTGCGCAAGTGGGACCTTGCCCCGGGTTGTTGTAGAGGCTGGATTATATCCATATGAGTGTCACCTTTGGCACTCGGTCAGAAGGAGCACTTCCTTGGATGTACGCGACGGCTTTGTCGGCGACACCTCTATGCACCTGACCGTATTACGCTTCCAGATAAGTCGAAAAGTTCCAGTGTGAGTATTTCGTGTGAGGCCAAAAGGAGTGACTTGTCTGGATTTCTTTCCCGCAGATCATTTACGATTATTTCAACCAACGATTTTTTATTTATTTATTTATTTATTTTTGGTTGTAAAAGGGCGACGGCCTTGAGATATCATCATTGAGCTGACCGACCCCAGGCAATTTTCGTTTTGTTTGGTTTCGTTTCGTTTTTTCAAGACCAGAGTTCAATGTTTTTCATTCTAAAATCATCAATACTATTAGAGGGATCCTTACAAACGCAATCAACGATCACCGAAGGTAAAGTTGCCAGTCTACGAAAGAATAAGCTGAACAAGAACAAGAAAATGCGAGTCAAGTGCAATCGACCCGACGCGAATCTGCAGACCGCCCTTTCCGTCATACGAGTAACCCCGGAGCACATCGTCACAGTGAGACAAGAATGAGCGGAACTCCGAATGCCCAGAACAAGAGCTCAGGTTTTGCGGACAACCACGGCAGGAGAGACCGAGACATAGGTGCAGGGGGTAGCTACACACGCGTACGCACGACCACACACACGCACGCACGCACGCACACAGAGAGAGAGAGAGAGAGAGAGAGAGAGAGCTACACACGCGTACGCACGATCGCACACAGAGAGAGAGAGAGAGAGAGAGAGAGAGAGAGAGAGAGGTGCTAAGGAGAAGGGTGTTTGGTGTAAACAGTGTAGAGTTTCGATTGCCTGTAGTAGGGAGAAAGGGGTAGGCTTCGGGTGGTGTTGTTGCTGATACTTTGGGCAAGATCCTTCTTTTGGATCCTAGAGCAGTTCCACTCATCAATTCCTTGTGTAAAGGGCGGCATCCCTAGCAGCCTACGTCCTTTGCTTTTGTCCGCCTTGAAGTCGACGACATCTGATTCCACCGAGCGAGTAGCATCTTCTTGTCCCACTCATATTTATAAATTAATTCCGTTTGCTCATGCCTGTACATATTGAACCGGAGTTCTAGTCATGATTAGTCGACCAAGCCGTTCGTTCTTTGCTGCGGTTAGAAGGAGATCAGTCAAGAGGGCACGGTCCACTGTGAAAGTTTGCAAGGAGCTGCGTCGCCGTCTTCATCGCCATAGCCGTCTTAGCCGCCATAGCCATCACCTTGCTGGCTGTCCTCCAGAGCTATGTCGCTTCATCTTCCTCTCGACGGTCGGCAACGGCGGTCACCGTGCTGGGATGTACAGTTTCACTGCCACATCCGTGGCAGAGGTTAACAGGCTTCGAAGAGCTCTCGAGCTCGGTACAGAGCTGAGTTCCGGAGCGCTTATCAACGACGGCATCTTGCTGCTCGATCCCGACTTCTTGGCCGTGTGCTCCTATCTTGAGGAGTTGTTGCTGGCTATGGAGGTCCCAACAGCTGCTCCCTCCTCCTCCTCCTCCTCGTGGCGGTCTTTCGTCAGAAGATGGAGGAGAGAGAGAAAGAGTTCTCAGAGGGAGAAGGGGGAGGAGGAGGTGGTGGTCCTGCCTTCTGTTCTGCAAAGGTTCCTTGTGTCCTCCATCCTCGATGCATCGGAGGCCGGTGCTATTCTTGCATCCTTGCAGCACGACCTCCATAGCCATGAGAAAGATGGAGATGGTGGAGAAGATGATGATGGTGGTGCCTTCGTCGTTCTCAACACGGCGGAAGATATCTTATCTCATCGTGACCGTCTGATCCAGCAGATCAAGGACAGAACTCGCCTCGACGAGAGCCTAGCAAGTCTGCTGCTCGACGATTTCAAGGGTGAGCATCAACGATTGCTAATCGATTGGGAGGAAGACAAGTGTCGGGTTCTCCAGAGAGTAGGTGTAGGAGGAGGAGGAGGAGGAGGAGGAGGAGGTGATGGAGGAAAAAGGGTAAGGAGAGATGAGAAGTCTTGCCTTGTATGTTTTGAGGTCCTGAGCTCTGCTCCTGGAGATTGGGAGTGTGGCCATATCATCTGCCGGGATTGCCTGCGCGCTCATCTCTCTTCTCGCCTCTGTGAGGGTGAGGTCGCTCGGTGTGTGCAGCCGGGATGCAGACGAGATTTGCCCAAGGCCGTGGTCAGGCTAGTCATGGATGCAGCTGACTTCAATCGCTACGAGGGGTTGCTGGCGAACAGATGTGTGGCTACCTTCGTGAACGTATGTATGTTCTTTTTTTTATTTTTTTATTTTTTTTATTTGAACGTATGTATGTTAAAATTTATCTTCTGGAAATTCCAGTCCTCCCAACTCCAGTCTCGTGTTTTTTGTTTGATTATTTTTCCCGCCTTTTTTTTGTGAAGGGTTATATTCGTCTGATTCCATCATCCGGATCCGAACATGTGTGTACCACTCATCCACATGGGCTGGGTTCTCCTCCTCCTTTTCTTGCAGCATTTCCCTTTTTTTTAAAAGGAAAAAAATGTTTTTCTAATTTTGGAAAGGTCGACGCCCTTGAAGTATAATCATCCCACGCGGCAAAACAAAAAAAAAAGAGAGAAAGAATCATCCACCTCACTGGGGTGGGTAGATCCCCCTAGCGGGGGTTTGAACTTGGTTTTGAGTACAGATCGGCTCCTACCTACCATCCGATCTGAGCATCTCATGGTGAGACTGTGGCACGTTGAAAGATACTCAAATGATGGAATACTAAACCCTCGCTATTGCTTAGCCTTGGCGCTATCTGAGTCCCTTGCTTTGTTTTTCTTTTTGTTCCCCGTTTTTCCTTTTCTTTTTTTTTTTTCTTTTTTTTTTTTTTTTTTT